TTAAAAAAAAAAAAAAAATCTTGCCCTTATCTGGCTGTATATTAAATGTCTGCATAGAAACATCCACTTAATACTCATGCTTACCTTGTAATCTAAACTGATCAAGGTAGTTTATTATTGTTTGTGAACCCGGTAGCTGGATCAGTCTAGCAGCACTTAAATGTTTCTTCAGGGTGCTTCAGAGAAAGATCTGAAAGTGGAAACAGCTTTGCTGAGAAATTATTTATTAATAATAAGGCAGTTCTGCTGAATAAATTTAACTTTGGGATGTAGTATGTTAAGTGTCCTATAAGCTAGTAAGTATCCATTATGAAATTGCATGGTTATAATTTTTAAGTGGAGGGTTTCAAATTACTTGTAAAGCTTAAAAATGTAATTTTTTTTTTTAATACAGGTTTTGAAATTATTTTTAAGGAAAGTGTTTTAATAAGACAACTTTTTTTAAAAAAATAGTGATGTGGTTGGTCAAGAACGGCTGGAGAAGGTGGTAGTGGCCTGGTATTACCAAGTCTCAACAGCAGTAAATAAGAGGCAGTGCTCTTATGTGGCTGAAATATTTTAAATGTAAGATTTGTGAGGTAGAATAGTTATGCAATACAGGGGATTTATTTAGCTTGATAAGATTAAGGTTTAATTTAGTATGTAGTTAGCGTAGTTCTGGGGCCTGCATAATAGCCCCAAAAGAAAGTTGACCTCTAGATGAACCTTACAACTAAATGTTAGCCATTATTAGTATTTGCTAATTAGTAAAATCTGTATTACCATTAGTGTTTATTATTAGTATCTGATCATTAACAAAATATGTATGCTCACTAGTGAAAGATGTAGTTTAGGCAAAATGTAATTAGTAGTGAGGATTACAGAATCGTCTTGGTTGGAAAAGACCTTGAAGATCATCTAGTGCAACCATTATGAATACAGGATGAAATGCTGTGAGACTGTGTATCCAACTTTCCTTGTTTAGCCTTGTTCAAGGCTGAGAACCCAAGAGTTTGGCTTTGTTAGAAACTCTCTTGGGAAATTCTCCCCTCCAAGCCCTGGCCAGGCTTTAGATGGAATCCAACAGGAGGATGAAACCAGGTGTTTCCACTCAAAACAGAGGTGTAAGTTATTCTAGTTTGCTGATTGTTGGTATATAAGACCCGCTTGCTGTGGCTTTGGATGCCTCACCTACAGATGGATGCGTTGTGTAGGACTTTCCATTTGGAGGGAAAGGTTCTCCAGATCCTTGCTGCAACCAGGACTCCCAGCAACTGCAGGTCTGGGTGTTGGTAGCATGTGCAAGTGGTGATGGATCTTTCTTGATCACTCTTCTCCCCATCGTGTACTAGTGATTAGGTGCATTGCCTTGCTTGTTCTTATTTTTCTATAATTGACTGTATATAGTAATAATTAAGTGTACTATTTTGTATTTTCTTATTGCTTATTTTCTGTATTACTTGGTTATATCCTTTAATTATTAACAGTAAAATACCCCTACTCTTTTTACTTTGTGTCTTGAGTTTAATTGGCATCCTCAATCAGCAGAACAGTCAGGTGACTTTAAATAATGAAAATAAATCCATTACAGTTGTAAGGCGCAGAGTGACTGCATGAAAACACACTCGGTTCAAGAATATGAAAAATATTTAATGTGTGTGAGAGAGTTGATAAAACACTCAAAATTTCCAAATTTAATTAGCCTTAAATAGTTTCTATTTTGGGATGTTCTTGTTTTAAGTCATATCTCTTTACTATTGCATGTTACAGATTTTCTGATCAGTCTTTGGCTGTCATGTATCATTCTTCAATGTTTGAGGGCCTGTGTATATATATGTATATGAAAAATTTAGATACGTACCTTTGTGTAATTTTTACTCTATTAGAATTATAGAATGGATGATGCTACAACTTTTCACTAGCAGAATACTTGAGGTGTAAAACCAAGCATTATACACCAGCTTATAAAAACTGGGGCAATTAACTTGTCAGGCAACATTTTTGACTAAATACGTGTAACGTATCACTGTGTGAGGTAAAGATGGCAAAAAACTTTGTCGCTGAAGGACAGAAAACTCTACAGAAGTGGACATTTGCATGTAACTTGTGTTTTCTCATTTTGTCAACAGAGCTGAAAAGGTCCTTGTATGCGTTATTCTCACAGTTTGGTCACGTGGTCGACATTGTGGCTTTAAAGACTATGAAGATGAGAGGACAGGCTTTTGTTATATTTAAAGAACTTGGATCCTCTACCAATGCTCTGAGACAACTACAAGGCTTTCCATTTTATGGAAAACCAATGGTGAGTTACTTGGTTAGCTTTTAAAAGAAAACATTGCAGTTGAACTATCATGTGTACTTGCAATAGTACCATTTTCAATCACATCATGTCCTGTTGAATATATTTATGTACACATGTATTTATGCAAGCTAGAGAGATGCCAGAGAGACTAGTTGAAACACACACAGACGCTGAGCTTGGCATTTATGTTTCTTAAGTGATGCCTTGGTGTTTTTCTGTGCTGAATTAGTTCTTAAGATCTTCAGTTCTTCTGTTTTACTCATCATGTCTTATGTTGAATCAATTAAATTCATTCTGTAATGCTATTGAAATTAGGTTCTTTCAATTAATTTCTCTAGAGTAACCTTAATTACTATCATATTAGTAATAAATAGCTAGCTTCCCTTTTGAGGTAACAGTGGGTAGGGTGAAGATCTCTGCAGTTTTACTTTCCAGAAATGAATAGATGTGACCAGTGATGATTTTTTTTTTTTTTTAAATTGATGGCATGTTCTACTTGTGCATGTGTCAGATCACCAAACCAAATAACTGAATTTCAGTATAACTTAACTGAAGCAAATATACTTGATAATGTGCAGAATAGCACAACAACTGACATGTTGTCTGCTTGGATAATTACACATCTCTTAATTCTGCAACTATTTGTGAAGTGTAATGATATGTGCACGTGGCCCACGTGACTTCAGCGATGGATATATTAATAATTGTCTTTCAGCTTGTGGCTTTGAACATTAAGGAGAGCACAGGCAGGTGTGTTGCTGAGCCACAAGGTTTTTTTCAGTAACATGTTCAGATTCTAATAAAATCTTTAATATGGAATTGTGCAAGTCCAGTTCTGTCATTTACCCCTAAAGAGTTTTCTGCTCAGTAAGCCTCAATAGGAAATAAAAAGATTAAGTCTTCGTGAGCTTTCAGGTGTACTTCCCTCCTTGAGTATTGCCTGTAGCATGCGTACTCTATCTAAGCGCTAAATAAAAGCATTAGAAAAATCTTCAGCTGCTGTGAAATTTTGTATTGAGGTAGTCTCTGATAGTAAAAGCAATAGGATTGTGTGCATAGATGATGTTGCCCACTGGTATACTCACAGCTGAATCTGCTTAGCCCTCTGACTAGTGCATTGGGCAGTCTTTGTCAGAAAACTAGCACAGTTATGCTGCTGATGCAATTTATGCAATCCAGTTTGGATTAAGGCAGGTACTTGCCTTTGTTTAGGAAGTCTTGAGTTTTGCTGAACTCAGTTTTCTGCAGAGATCTGAGAAACGACCATAAAAAACTTAACTTCTCTTAAAATGGGTTTAAAAAACTCTCTTGTGTTTTTTAATAGAAGCTGGTGCCAGTTTTGTCAAATGTTCTTACATTGCTTTGTACATCTGTTACCTTGACAGATGTTAAAATGATGCCCATTAGATGAATAGAGTTCCGATTTTGGTGAGTCAAAATTAGTAGTTTCTGTTTTAGGGTTTTTTTTGAATTTCATAGTCACGTTCAGAATTAATTGTGAAGATTAGATGCTCTGTAAGCATACCTACAGTTTATAACTATTTTTAATATAAGAAATTCCTGTGAAAATATGTAAATGCGCAGTAGAACACGGCTAATGAAAGTGGGGCAAAATGTTCAGTATTATTCATTGCAAAATGTACTGTTTTCCTTTTAAACAGCGTATTCAATATGCAAAAACAGACTCTGATATAATCTCTAAAATGCGTGGTACTTTTGCTGATAAGGAAAAGAGGAAGGAAAAGAAGAAGGCCAAATCTCTGGAGCAGTCAGCAAATGCAGCAAATAAAAAGGTTATTCAGGTAAGCTACTTCTCTGTCTAAAAAATTAAAAACAAACAAAGGCTATTTTAAATTACTTCTTTTTAGGACTAAGTATTGTCTTTTGGTACTTCCCAATTCCCTAGATTGTGGTGTATTGCTATCTAGTACTTTTGAGAACTCAACAGAAGTTGAAGGAGAGGGGGCTGATTAGTCCTTATTTTTATTCCTCCGTTCCTATTGCCAGGTGAAAATAAATATGTAAAGCAAAGGTACAATAAACCAAAGTAGAAACTATCTTATTTTTTAAAAGGGAAAAAAATGAAGGGTTTGGGGTTATCTTTAATGCCAGCTTCAAGTGCTCAGCCAGCTTTTCCCTTCAGTGCTTCCCTTTAATGCTTTGTTTGCTGTGTGAGCCCTGAAGAATAGTGAATGGGAACAAGAGAACTCATTTACAGGGATATGAAAAGGATTTGGCTCAGAATATATCTCCACTAAGGGTTGGCTGGGCCTAAACTAACAACATCTGGTAATTTATGTGCTGAAGTATAGCAGAAAATATGAAGGCATGGGGTTTGAATGTGGTGTTCTTTAACTGCATTTCCTGGTGAGGTACAAGTTGGTTATCAAGGAGACAAGAGTGTTCATAGAAAACATCGTTTTCTAGGTAGAATATTCAGATTTCTCAGGATTTAGGAACAAATCAGTTGTTACATACAAATCAAGAAGAAGTAATTGCTACTAGCTATAATGATAATAGCTTTAGTTATCGTTACTCAACTGGAGCCCTCAGTGGAAACACCTATTTTTCTCCTCTATTAGGTATGTCCTGTGTAGGCCTTCATTTTCAGAACTGCTTCCTTCCTGTCTATTTAACAAAACTTTATAGTGATTTGCTCTATCTGCTGACTTGGCCATTAGATCAGATACTACTCAAGTTTTTTCTTTGATTGGCTGCTAATGGAATTCAGCAAAATTCACATTATTTGTTTCCCTTTGGGAAGTATCTCATAAGTAACAAATGTTCCTTGGATTGTAGCTTAAAAAAACCTGAACGTACTTCATGAGTTGTACAGAAACATGGTGATTTGTGCTTACATATTTCTAACAGAACACCTTTGTAAAACTATTTTGTACTTGTTTACTAGGGAGCAACACAAAATTCAGCCAATGCCCCAGGGACAGCAGCACAGAATCAGCAGGTAATGGGTTTTTTTGTGACTAAAAGTACTAATGTTTAAAATTATTCTCTATGAACAATAGTTTGTTACACATGGAAACTTGAGAATATATTTTACAGCTTGCTTTTTGTTCTGTGAGATGTTTGTTTAGATAACAGTGAACAAAGGAAACCCCACTTTTATTGTATCTGGTTGTCATGAAATGAAAATTGCAGTTTCTCATTATTATACAGAAAACTGCACTTTATTCTTAAATTTGGACTGTGCTTAGTATCAGTTAAAGGTTTCTTAGGTTTTTTTCAGTTATAAATTTCCTTTAACTTGTTTTGTTGTAGTAGTAGAAAAGGAGAAGGAAAACTACACATGGTGCCAGAATATCTGCTTAAAAGCTTCTTGACGGAGGTTGGATGTCCTCTGCTCACTTCCTCTTTTTTTCTCATAAGTATCTTATTTTCCAAACGATTGTGTGGAGCTGTAACAACAACAATTTACACTGCACTCGTCTTGTCTGCTCAGTGACCTTCTAAATGATTAATGTGTGTTAGAAGTGGAGGCACTAAAGAGACAGAATCTGTAGGAAGGCAAATACTATAGAACAATATCTTTGCCTGCCCTGCATCTCTTTCTTGAGTACCATCACTGAGAATTGCATACATAATCCACAGGGGAAAATGTCTTGTTACCAGTCTGGGTTTTCTTTCGGGTATCATTTGTAACAAGGCACAATATGTGTATGTCAGTTTGCGTTGGAGCACAACACTGAGTATTTAGGTATTTGTTTGAACTTCAGAAGTTTATTTTCAAATGGCACTGTCTGGAATATTTCCATCAGCTGACAGAAATTGTTCTGCTGAGGCATTACCTTACTTGGCACCATTACTGGGACGATTGAAGTTGTGGTGTCCAGTTTCTTTTTATTTTTGTAATCTCCTTGATGACTTTAGGGAGATTCCAGCCTTTCAGTCCAGTGTCAGCAAACTGACTACTCAGCCTTGAGTCTGGTGGGTTGCTGCTACAAATTCGTATTAGTGGGCAAAGACTGTAAAGCTTTAAATCTTAGGGGATTTCTAATTAATAAATTTGAATAGAGCACTATAGTAAAACCATGTGGGGTTTGTGGGTTTCAGTTGCCCAGGGATATTCAGTATTTTGGTACTACTGCAGATGAACAGGGTATTTCCTTTGGACTCCCACAGCTCTTCCAGAAGGATGCAAGTCTGTCTTAGATTCTTCCACTGCCCTACAGGTGTCTTGGACAGCACTACAGGCAGTGCTTAGGCACCTGGGTCCCACCCCTGTCAGTGCTGAGAGCACTGTCAGCTGTTGAGTTGTCAAGTTTAAACAGGATGTCTGAGACAATATGTTACTGTGACTTTTGTGGAAATAAGAGCCTCTCTGAATTAATACCTCCTTGTAAAAGAACCAAGGGGCTCTGTCTGCTCACTGCATGAATGGTATACCGAAGTCCAGCTAGCAGTGTTATGAGCAAAACTAAGGATATGCAAGTCGTGGTTCAAATAATCGTGCAGACAGATGCAGAGGAACAGATAGCTGTGTGTAATCTTCTGAGCTTTGATCTTCTGTTGTTGCAGGTGCCTGATAACCCACCAAACTATATCCTTTTCCTTAATAACTTGCCTGAGGAAACAAATGAGATGATGCTGTCCATGTTATTCAATCAGTAAGTTTTGAATAGAAAGACTTCTCTGAATTCTTCTGTTATTCTTCTGTGTGTTTTTTCTCAGTCGGCAAGCTGACTTTTTAGAAATAAGAGGTATTTCAGTTCGTTGTCTTACTGCCAAGATTACAGATGTCAGTTCTGATGACTTGGTGCAGAAAGCAAATCCGATTATTTTGTAGCTGGGTTTGATTGTGTAAGTTATCTACTATCAATCTGCACCGGATTTAAGCTGATGACTGTAATATTAAAGACTTTATGACAGCAGCAGCAGTTTTAAAACTGGCTTTAGTTGCTTCCATATGTGCACAAGACTGATTAAATTGCTTCCACATAATGATCCTTAATTGAGACATGGTTCTATGGACTGGGCATGTAAAACTTCAGTTTAAATCTTTCATTAGTAGTAACTATTATACTAGTAGATGTATAAAGTCTTATTATGATAAGGTCTTTCAGCTGCTAAGAGAGATGCATTATCAAACTAGAAAGTATTTTCTGACTCTTTCACCTTATTTTAAAGGTTTCCTGGATTCAAAGAGGTACGCTTAGTGCCTGGGCGCCATGATATTGCATTTGTGGAGTTTGAAAATGAGAATCAAGCGGGAGCTGCTCGAGATGCTCTCCAAGGATTCAAGATTACTCCATCTCATGCCATGAAAATCACTTATGCAAAGAAATAACCGGATGCTCCTAGAAACGACTTCTGTGGATAGCTGTTGTATTCATGTGATGATACTTTGATCAGCTAACAAGTTTGCTGTTGCCTGCAGAAAACTTAAGACATGTGTAAGATTGCCACCACAACCAGGGCAGATGTAGGATTTCCACAGATCTACGGGATAGTAAATTTTTATAAAATTCAGTATATGTTGTTTTCAAGCCATGTTTTTCCTTTAATTTGTTTTATTATTGATCTTTGAGGCTTGCAGGGCTTATTCAGTATACTAGTTTAACTACTTCTGAGGTGACACTCATTTCTCAGAAGTGAGTGCTGGAGAAATAGCAGTCTTTCCAGAGCAAAAAGCGTGAGCAGGAATACTAAATGTCAGCATATTCAGAATAAATGCAACACTCAATCTTCAGCCTCATTATCAAGGGGACAGCTGCTTTTCAACAAGAATAATTTTGTCACTTAAGAAAAACAACTTATCATTAGTGGGTTTTTTTTCCTAGGTATGGGTAGACATCGATTATAGTTTGACAGCACTGTTGTTCAGCTTGGTTTTGTCTTTATAATGATGGATGGTAGTAGAAGCAGGCCCACAGAAGAAACGTAAAGTTTATCTGTTGTCTTCTCTTCTGCTCTTTCCAGCCCTATTACTAGTGATTTTAATAAATGGTTTAGGAAGAGCTTTCTGTCTCCACAAAGACAATGCATATGAGCCTGATGGTCTGTTTTTATGCAGGTTTTTCGAAAATATATGTCCTAAAGCTTCTGGGTTTGTTGCTTTTTTGTATTTGTCAAAACCTTTACAGATCTTGTGTGACGTGAAATATGCTGAATGCAGTGAGGTAATCAGATGTAGTATTGTGACTTGTAACTCTTCTAAATATTTGGGGGCAAAAATAACTTCATAAGCTTAAGTGTTTTGTTCAGGTGATGGAAGACCTAGAAAGATATTTTAGGTTAAGAGAATAATGACATTTACTTAACATATGATTGTGTTTGTGGAGACTCTTGCAGTAGCTGTTGCATGATGTTGGCCAGGAGGTTTGAAATCAGACCCCTGAAGATTAATGTTTGAGGAGGTTTTGCAACATGACAAGCACTGTGCTACTTCTTGTCATGTCCCGCTCAGATGAGAGGGACAAGTGACTCAGATTCGCAAATCCCCAATTGGAGTGGACAACAAGTCTCCAAGTTCAAGCATTTATTAACTACCTACAATGTACTAATTGAACACATGATAATTGGCTAAGTATATAGCACGTTGTGGTGAGCAATATAATATGCCTTGCATTTCTTAATAGAAAAAGGAAAAGAGGGAGATAGAGGGAATGGGGAAATACAGATCACCGGTCTGGGTTCCCGCGCTGATCCCGCCGGCGAGGGTTCCAGGAGACGGCCGTCTTTTTCGCAGGCATCTGTCATCTTTGCTTCACTGCACTCTCCAGATGGCCGGGGGGGGCAGAGAGTCCTTTCTTCTCCCTTTTGATTTATACCCACTTTCCTTGGGTCTGTCCCCTAGGTCGACCCACAGACCTAGGTATCCCATGTACAGGGAGGGGTAAGGTGTTTCATGGGATGATGTAATTAGCATGATCATGACAGCCCTCGTTAGCATATTGAGGGGTGTTAACTTTAATATGCATTTCGTGGATAATGAAGCAAAATTCATTCACCAGACACATGGCCCTTGAAATTTGTCCAGGTGCCCCAGAGGAGAGCCATCCTGTCTCCACAGGGCGCTCTCCCCCAGCTACATCGGGCAGTGTTATCAGCTTCGGCCTCCACAGAATGCACCCTGTGACTCATAGTTTTGTCTTGGGAGTGTTTGAGGCATTTCTTCAATCAGCCTCAACTTTTGCTTTCCCAAGTTGTTTTTCTTAATTTCTCACAGGGCTGGTTTCTTGTGTCTCACATCCCACCCCATGACTCAAACACTCCAAGTTCTTTGACCATTGTGATCTCAAAGGGTATAGGGAAAAAGAAGACAGAAGGTAAGAGTATATATCCAACTGCTGCAAGGCATACTATGAAAAGCAGAACTTTGCACAATATTACAATACTGCTGTTTACAAGCTGTCTTCCCCACCCCGTGAGTCCTGAGGATCCCGGTGATGTTACCCATGACCTAGGGTTCCATCCATCAAACCAGTTCACTGGTCGAAAAAGTTCTCTGTTCCTTTTGGCATTCTTCATTGTGGCATGGGTCTCCTCCGTAGAGGTGATGATATTGTGGATGGGGATACAGCATTCTCCTTCAGTCAGAGTCAGCACACCGCACAGTCCATGTTCCTTCAGCAGTGCTAGCTGGGTTCTGCAACGCCATCCTAGATGCTTGTTGGGTCTGTACCTTCAATTCCTTAAAAGCATACCTTGTTAGTACATACAAATGCTAAGATAAATCTTATAAAACTATTTGAAGTTGCATAATCACATTAGAAGGTCAATAAATATTTAAATGAGGATACAATTTAATATTCAGGTACAATTTGTTAATGCTTAATTTGTGGGACCAGACCCCTCCAGCTAGTCTTTGATTATTTCATCTTGCTGTTGGTTATATGATATTTGCAAGCACCAGTGGGCAGTCACAGGTGACTCACAGGCTTCCTTAATTTTGGAGGTGATTTCCAATAAGGTAACTTAAGGCACAACCCCAAGTTAGCCTTCCAATAAGTGGATTCTCCACACTTAGCAGGTATGATTCCACAAATTGTATAACAATGTAAGCATATTACAAATAATAACTAGCCGATAATGTCTATAACTATTGAAAGCACTAAAAGTAACAGAGGTCTCTAGTCGTCCAGGATCAATATCCTGTAAAACAAATACATGCATAATGAAACGATGGTTAGAAAGAAGGGACAATCCACCTGGTATTGATACAGTATTCTTTCCCATGTGCATCAGAAGCCACCCATGAACAGATATTGATGGGAGTTTTTAGGGTTAGGGGTACTTGCCCCACAGTGGGCAAGTCTACTAGAACAGGTTGTCCAGGATAATGGAGCAGGTTTGCAAAGTCTTTGGTCTCTTTTTCACATTAACAATTTTAGAAAGAGGAAGCGCAGGCACTTGCTGTAAAAGTCTTATAGAGGCAGTTGGGGACCCAAATTTCCATATTCTTCCTTTTGAATCTACCTAGGCTTGTCCCTTCAATAGGTCAAGTGCCAGGATATTTGTGGGAAAATTTCTCAGAATCATAAGTAGTTTCTGTTGCAGTTTCATTCCCAGGTAACCAGCATTTCACCCGAGCTGTCGGCTGTGGCTTAGAGTCCCCAAAAACATCTGTAACCCAAATCGGCTTTTTGCCAGCAATTATGCCATTCCGCCTGGCAACATCAGTTTGGAGTGCTGAGACCTGAGCACCTGTATCTACTAGAAATGTAACTGGAGTTTTAAGGGGGCCAATCAGAAAAGTAATCAACAAGTCTCCTTTAGTGTTCTCTGTGAGCCTCCTGAAGTGGATGCACCCGCCATCCCCTGGCTCATTTATTGGGGATGGCACATCCAGTTTTCCAACCCTAAATCAAGTCCTCTTCAGGGACAGTTGGTGTTTGAGAAGCAATTACCACCATCACGTTAGTTTTCAGTTCTGTCCCTCCCTTCATCCGAAAGATCTGCTCGGTTTGGGGGGAAGCTTCCTTCTGCCTTTCCAGGCTTGAATGAGCTTTTCTAAAACTGTAGTAGGCAGACCATCCATTAACTCTCGGGGAATTCCCTGTCTAGTTCCCTCAGTCCACCAGAGGTTTCTCTTTGCTCTTAAAACTTGTGGAGGGGAAGGGGACAGATTTTCCTGCTTTTCCATTCTGCATAAGGAGGGGAGGGCTTAGGTTTACCTGTTCCCCTGGTAAGGCCCATTCTCCGGCCATAATTTATTAAGTCCTGAGCTATCTCTCCCCAAGTCATGGGCTCTCCCCCTCCCTGTCTCCCGCCCTATGGGGCTAATACAATCCAAAAACGATCTTGTAATTGTACTGCATGTGATTTCAAAGAGCCTGGCAAGCCCCGAATCAGGGGAGTCATTTGATCGGGGTTATCAATTAATAGCATCGGGGAAGGCTGCTGAGGAACCAAATGCCTGTCATGCATTAATTGGAGACAAGCAGCCTTCTTCAGACTTTCAGTCAAATGATTTATGGTTGGGGTCTCAATACATACTGGATCCCCCCTTTCCAAGGGGTCCAGGCTCCCAGCCCAATAAGCAGCTCGTTGAGTTAATGACCACGGCTTTCTCTGGTCATCAGTAACTAAGAAAGCCCCTGGCCCCCAGTACCCCTGGGCCTCATCTTCCGTCACCACCAGTCAAAGATACCCTCCACACATGTTCAGTCTCAGTTTCCTGAGCTCATCTGGTATATTTCTCCTGAATTTTTGCAAGCTCAGTTGCTGGGTACAGTGTAGTTTGAGTGGTGACCTGCAGAGCTCTTCCACCCTGACCCTCAGTGGTCTCCATTTTAATTAATGGTCTTAAATTTGCCCCCTCATTTTTGGGGTAATAAATTTCTCGGCTTATCTCTAAATCTTCTGTTGGGTACAAGGGTCTGGCTGCTGATGTTATCAGAATTGTAACTCCCTGTTCACTATCCGGAACAGAGCTAAGATCTGTCCGGTTGCAGGTTTCTTGTTCATTCATCTCTTTTTCAGACCATGAGATTTTTTTTCTTGGTCCAAGGCATCTAACAGAGCTGTGTGAAGTCGCTGAGTGGTGTTATGCTCATCAGCTAATTGGCTTTTCAAAACTTCAATTTGCTCTTGCCAGAGTTTAGCTTTTTGTTCAGTAACTTTTCGTTCCTCAGCCAACTGAGCCTGGAGAGCTTTTACCAGATCTTGTAGGGATTCGATCATTTCCCTTTCTAATTATTTCTTAACATGTTGATCTTATTGGGCTGCAGTCAGTGCTGCCCCTAATACAGCACACACTACAGCTTTTCCTTTGCCTGGTCGTGACCCTTTCACCCCTGCAAGCATACTGATATAACTTGCCACTGCTTCTGGATTTTGCCAATTATCGTGGGCCCAAACCTCTACTAAAGGAGGATGACAAGCCTTATACTCCTTCATCTTCTCAAAAATAGGGGAGCGGTCAAGCACCGACATTTCCTGGTCAGTCATGGCTTGCAACTGCTTGAACCTCTCCTGGCTTAGAGCTGAGAGGTCACTTCCCATTTCTCCCTGTCCTTATCGGATAGAGAATCGGTATCCCTCCAACCCTCTCCCAGCTTAGAGCTGAGGGGCCAATTCCCAGTTCTCCCTGTCTGTCGGATAGAGAACCAGTATCTCACAAGACTTTCCAACACTGAAGGGTATCCTGCCGACTACACCAATTTAATGTCATATCCCACTCAGATTCGCAAATCCCCAATTGGAGTGGACAACAAGTCTCCAAGTTCAAGCATTTATTAACTACCTACAATGTACTAATTGAACACATGATAATTGGCTAAGTATATAGCATGTTGTGGTGAGCAATATAATATGCCTTGCATTTCTTAATAGAAAAAGGAAAAGAGGGAGATAGAGGGAATGGGGAAATACAGATCACCGGCATTTCTTCAATCAGCCTCAACTTTTGCTTTCCCAAGATGTTTTTCTTAGTTTCTCACAGGGCTGGTTTCTCGTCTCTCACACTTCTCCCTTCTTGAACACTTTCTCTATGAGGCTGCTACCCTTTCAGACAAAAAGTAATGGGACAGAGTTAGCATGAATTCCTTTAGAAGTAGTTCAGGCGTTACAGTAACTGATGTTTAGGCAAGAAACTACAAGGAAGAATGTTTTGCTTTGTAGGTACATTGCAAGTGTTGAGGATTTTTACTCTTTCCAAAGTCATTTGGTCAGTGGGAGCGGGAGTTTCCTCTATGGTGGTGGCTCTGTGCAGTCACTTTCTGTGTTGTGGGCTCGGCTGTAGTTGCAGAGCATCTGTTTCTCCTAGCTTGTGTTCTGAAACAATTGAGATCTGACTTAAAACTGTTATTTGGACAAAGTGCTGCACCTTCAGGGAAGCATGATTGCTTTTTGTAACACCTTGGTATACTTCATAGTTCTGGCTTGTCCCCTCAATTTCTGAGCAAGTGCTGTGTTATCCATAAGCATAAAACTAGCTATATAAGCCACCTTTTTTTGCATGAGGCCTCAAAAATCTTTAATCTTCCACTCCCAGAGTACATTGCAAGATGATATTCCTTCCGCAGTCATCTTAATTACTGTCCTATCCATATACATATTTTTCATTCTTTTCAGTGATTTTGTTGTTGTTGTTTGTTTGGGTCATTTCACAAGTATTCTAATATTTGCAAGTAAAAATCTTTTCCTGTAAGGGAGGAAAAGCTATGTTATTCAATCATGAACCTTATGTTTTTCCTTCTCTGGTCATAATTTTATAGGTATTAATTATGCTGTCCTTGCATCCTACTAGTCTGTGTGTGTGAGTCTACCATTGCATACCACCACTCTTCACCTTTATTCACTTAGGTTTGTGTAGAGCTGTCTGCAAAGGCCGTTAAGACACTACATATGGGAGGCTGGAGGAAGGAGTAACGGGCTGGAAGATGAGAGAACGTGGCTAAGTCAGCTGTAATAGGAAGGGGGTGCTAGAAATTGCAAGATGCTCTTTCTTTAAAAGAAAGTGGGGGGGGTTTGATGACAGCTGACAACTTCCTCTATTCTGCTTGTGGACCAAAAGCTGGTACAGGCAGTCTGCCTCATGAATTAGGAAGTACTGGTTCTCAGGAGCACCATACTGGGAATTTCCGAGCTTGCTCTTGGTCACTGCTAAGGATTAATCCTGACCAACCTTTTGTAGCCTGACAGCTACAACGTGAATCACAGTGCAGCACCTCTGGTGGCTGTTCCCTTGGTGCTTGTGGGCACATCTATTTTAATTGAAATACTCCCTACAAATCCTGCCTCAGGTATGCTAGGACTACATCTTGGGAAGTTAGCTGAATTCTAGATGTCCTTTCCAAGGTGTAAAGAAGACCTTTAAGTCAGCCTGTGGCACTGTGTGTTGTTCAGCATCTTGTATCTGCAAACTCAGCTGAGTTCAGTCAGCCATGTAAATAAAAGCAAAACGGTTGCTGTCCTGGCATAACCTGTGTTTTGCTCTGACGGTGTCTCCCTGCAGAAGGGATCTTGCAGTATGCAACGCTTGAACTTTTTAGTCTTTGAATTTAAAAGGCTGACCTGCAAAGCCTTTTTACTGGGTTTCAACTCCCTAATGGTTTGTTTACGTTTGCATCCACGTGTTGGGGTCCTAGTCTGTCCTTTCTGCAACAGGGGAATCTGCCACTGAGGGCTTACACTTCAGTGAAGATTATGCTTGTCAGTGAGTATTTGTGAAAATGAAGAACTGAAGGATTTGGAAGGATGCAATTTCCTTTGCTGCTTAACAGGGTCTGACTTAATTTGTCTTCCCAAACTTTGCTTGAGGTAAGATTAAGACTATGGGTAACTACAGGAAGGCTTAAAGTGTTTAAATCATACAGTTGCTGATTGAAATGTTAATGCTTTGGGAAGGGATTCAGTTTCATGAGTGGACCGTGAAGTCTTCCTCCTGCCTGCGGCTCCTCTGCTGGGGTGGAATGTTGCCCCGACCTCTTCCTATTGGCCCGGCGTGTTTGTCCAGGTGTCTGCCTCTTCCATAAAAGACGGGGATCGCTGGACCCAGCGCGTGTTTGGCAAGTGCTGCAGCAAAGAAAAATGACACAACGTGTTTATTTGGTGGTTTTACTTTTGTGTCTCGGATTAATGTGTCCTCTTGTAACTGGAATTTTTATGGACAAGCTTGCCAGCGAGAAGCTGTGTGCTGATGACGACTGTGTCTGTAAGTAATTTTGCTCTACGTTTTGAGGACAAAATAGTCTCAAAAATGAGTTTAGATGCTGTAGAGCACGGGAAACAACTCTGATTATTTAGCTCTGTTACATTGGAATTGTCAACTTTAAAAGCAGAGTGGGAGGGTTTATGTGGAATGCCACATGCAGTTTTACTGCAAAAAGGGGTCTGTAAGGGAAATTTTTCACTCAAGTGACAACTAAGTGTAGAGAGAAGGATTGTAACTTCCACTGTGTTGAAATGCGACATTCTGAATCTGTTACTTTGCTTACTGGAGAATAGATAAACGAATTCTTGGAAGACTTATTAATTTCAGGATAACCTACTTTTATCTGTAGGAATAGTTTTACATGTGTGCATACAAGCACAAACATTTATATTTCTCTCTCTAAAAGTACATATGTATTTAAATTTGTTCACCTCATTTTTTTTTTTTTTAATTTTTTTCTTTTTAGATACCATTTCCCTTGCCAGAGCAGAAGAGGATTATAATGCTCCAGACTGCAGATTCATTAATATTAAAAAAGGGCAGTTGATTTATGTTTACTCAAAACTAGTGAAAGAAAAAGACTCTGGAGAATTCTGGGCCGGAAGTGTAAGAGGAGATTCTTATGTATTTGAGCAAATGAGAAGTAGATTAATACGTGTTTCTGTGGATGCTAATGCTGAGTTATTGTGGATATTAAAGCAACGATTTAGTTTGCAAAGTGAATGTTTAAACTTAAACTGACTGAGAAGTTTTTGGGGGTTTATTTTTTTATTAAATATCTTCAGTAACTGTACAGTGATTATGAACTGAACCGTAACAGAAGAGCTTAATGGTTCTTTCTTGTGGCTGTTTGCTGAAACTATGGAGGAAAAAGCTTTTATCTCAGTTAGTCATAAAACTAGTCATAAATTTAAGGGAAGTGAAGATAAATATTAGCTGCATTTATTAAAAAATTCCAGATAAACTACAGGCAGTATTAATTTACTCCAGAAAAATGTCTGTGTGTATCAGAACTCGTGTTAATGGTTCATTTCATGTGCCAGCTAACTGGAAACTAGGAGATCTAAAACCAAACAAAGAAACACTATTAGTAACTGCTTTTGACTAAATTATGAACTAGCTCAAACCAGATGAGGACTGTTTTAAGGTATCTAATTATACATCTCCTTGCTTGAAGGTTTACGGAGAACAGTATGAAGACCATATGGGGACAGTTGGTTATTTCCCTAGCAGTTTAGTCTCAGAACAACATGTCTATCAAGAAGCAAATAAGACTGTTCCTACAACGGTAAGGAATTTGCAAAAACCCAGCTGGCTACATAATTATACTTGGCTGTGTAATGCTAATTTGCTGTAAAAACAAATCATAATTGTGGCAGTTGATGGTAGCATATCACAGATGCTTAGGGATCCAATCTTTGGGCCTTTATACGGCCAAATAGCCTCAATAAAATCCGTAACATAAGCTCTGATATTGCAGACATCACAAATGCTGCATTAAGGGCTTGATCCTATTAGAGTTTCTATTGGTTTGAATAGTATTACTTTAAGGCCACATAAGTTTTACCCAAAGCTTTCTTTTTTAGAATCTGGATGTTGTGCTGCATACCTTAGTAATGTGTACAAGTGCACTTTCTATCAATTGTATGTATAGCTGGACACTGTCATACAGAACTTCTGATTTACTGGAAGCATGCTTGCTTTCTTGTAACAAAGTTACTGGTACATCAAAAAGCTGAGTTTAAAAGCTTTTGGAAACATATTAGTGTTCTGTGAGTAGGCTGTATTTCTGAAAGGGTGATTGCCCCTGATTACGTACAGTAGTGTCTCATATACCACACAATTTGTAATTTTACTAAAGATCTGAAACGCTTCACAGAGGAGTGGAAGAGAAGGGTCCTTTCTCAGAGGCAGGTATGGTTTGGCTTACATCTAACACTGGTAGCTTATTTATGTGCTTAAAACCAAATTGACTGGTAGGTTTACAGTAATTACCTTCATTAATATTGAATATTTAGCTATATGCTTTTTTGAGGCATATGGCAAAATATGATTAGTTTGTCAATCTTGAAATCATATTTGGAGTCTTTCATCCTAGGTCCACATTATTAGATGGGTTTCATTAACACAGAGGAAATAAGTGAAAGGAAGAATTCTGTTTCATGTTAATAGTTGCTAGGATTTGTATTATAAGGTGTCAGACAGGTTTTATTTGAGGAAATACAAATGTCGTGTGATTGCTTTTCTTGATACTACATTAGGTTATTCTGAGTTTGGCCCAGAAGCATTCCAGCAATTAATTAGTCACAGAACATGAAAGAATCACTAAAATATGTTTCTAAGCTCTTTTCTCAACAATATGACATCCAGTCTGCTTGCATGGCAAGCTGAACTGGAAGCAGAGGTAGGTTAAAGTGATATTTTTGCTTGCAGGCTGATTCAGGGTCCGGACTGGGCTGCTGTCAGACTGCAATGCAGAACTTTAATGGGAAAGTAATTTTCTTTTGCAAAACTCACCTCACAGTTGTTTCACTCTTACTTAATATTCTTGCTAAGCAGGAGCTTGAAGGGTGATACTGGCACATTCTTTTCCTCTCAGCTGTGTTTTGCAAATGTGACCTTAAGGATCTGGCTCTAAGCTCACATTTAAAACAGTCCACAAGCACATCTTTATCAATCTGTGTATGGACATGCTGCTTGCTCCAGAAGTAGCCCTTAAAGGTGCTGTTTTATACAGGGCAAATGTTGCATGCTGACATTGATGCCTCTAATGCCACCAGCTTTCCATCTGCCCATCAGAAGCTGGTCCCTTGCTCACAGCACTGTGACGTTCCCCCAAGCCGCTAGCAATGGTTTTACCTTGCTTTCCTGGCCTTGCACCTGCAAAGCCTGATACTGGTGTTATGATGGGTTCCCTTGGAAAGGGGTTGACATTTGTATTGGGGGACCTGATGATGCCCAGATGTTAATGATTAACGAGCACATGGTGCCTGCTCCTCATGAAAGCACTGGGTGACACACACAAATGGCATTGCATAGACCAACAGCTGATGGGGAAAAGTGTTATGCTGCACCGAAGAGAAGCCTGAAAGAGGACAGTATTCTGGGGGCCTCTGGGTTTCTGACCCTCCTTTTATTTTTATTTCTTTTTCCCCAAAAAGTAACTTCTACTGTTGGAGTCAATCAGGTACAGACCCTGATAATAAATGTTTCTGCCTGTGAACTTCTCTCAGCATCTTTTTGTGCAGCTCTAGGTAATCCATGCCTGTTGGTTGCTGTTTGAGCAATAAATCTTAGGAGACTTTTTTTTTTCTCCTCAGTGCTACTACTTCTGAACCATGGAATCACACTGAATAAAACAAGACTCAACACAATAGACTCTGTGTACTATAAAGCGGTGTTGTATTGCCTGCCTTCTCTTGATCACTTAAAATCGGCCATTTGGTGGCCAAGATGAGAGTACTTTCATTACCAGTAAGCATCTGCTGTGAAATAGTTCCCTGTTTTCTGCTTCCAGTGGACAGCTATATGTGATGCGCTGGTCTAACGTAAATGTCATACAGTTTGAGCACCACAGGGTGGTAATTCCCTGCAGCAGAACCGAGATCTACATAATGGTATAAGATAATTGCAGGAAGTTAAATGGAAGCAATATGCTGTGGAAGTCTATCCCACACTGGAAGCTTTCAAGCAGAATACTGGCATTTATTTTCTAGTCACATTTTTCCATAGCAAGCGTGTTGCGTAGCTTCAATCTAAGGCATCCTTTTCATGTTTGATTAGGAACTGTTTAAAGATAAAGAGTTACATAGGACTAATAAATCCAAGTATGGATGTGGGAATAGAAAACAAAAAAGGGAGATAAAGGAATCATTTGAAATTATGAGAGAAGGTAGTATTGCCTAATAAAAAATTAAAAAATTTATGGCAGGAGCATGTCATCCCAGCTATGCAAAAAAGAATCAAAAGACAAAAGACCTTTTTCTTTTCCAGAATGCTTTGAGTACATTATGGTGCACTTTGAGTACATTTTAGTATATTCTGTATTTGCATCTATTCATGTAGCTTTGGGGGGTGATAAAGGAACATGAATCCTTTAGTAATCTCAAAACATATTTCCTTTTAACTCTCTTTTTCAGGACATTGATTTCTTCTGTGAATAGTGCTGAAAGCAGTCGGTCAATCTCTCGGCTGCTACCAGGGAAAGCTGACAGGAGGAAACATGGACACCCTCCCTGAACACACAGCCCTTCCTATAATAGATGTTTGTGCAACAAGTAGTTTTTCTTCAAAATGAGAAAGTTCTCATTTGAAGGGAGTGATTGTAGATGGGGAAATAGCCCCTCAGAGGATTTGTTTAGAAATTTTTTACCTGCATATACTTTGTTACTTGTTAATAAACCTAATAGACTTTGAATGATACTATAAGTCTGTGTGGTATAAATATGCTATGTATGGGATTAGGTGTGTGGTCTTGACCTGCATTATTCTGCTATAACCTTATACCTTGTATTAGATATTAAAAATACCTTCCTTAGGTGAGTCATCTGTGGCTTGCTGGAATCAATGATTTTTGTTGTAAGAGCTACTCAACAATGGAGAAATTGCTAGTAACTGAATATGGGCTTTAGCAGTGTGTCAAAAACAGTATCTTACCTGCTGTGCGTGCCAGGTCTGGGGCATGTTCAAACTTAAACTGGCTCAGAGCCTTGGGGTAAGGCTGAGGCTGATGTCTTCCCAGGGCTTCCCCTGCCTGGGAGGCAGCACCGTGCCCAGCTGCTCCCCTGAGCACTGGTACAGAAGATAGGTAGCCTCTGCTTTGTGTTCCAAGTAGGAGAACTGGAGGTAGTATCCTGCTGATCCCTCTATGGCTTTACAGTCAGCCTGCCAGTGCTGGGCTGCCTGTGTCATCGCACCTCACTGATGGGATTGGGTTGTCACCTGCTCGACCCATGTGGGGAGCGGTTGGGCTGAGCCTCCCAGGATGGGAGGTTGTGTCACTCAAAGTTAAACATGCCTGGGACTGAAAGTGGTGGTGGTATTTGGGCTCCGTGCTGTCAGTTCAGCCTCAGAAAGTGAGTTCTTTAGGTAAAATTTCAACTTCCCAGAGAGGTTGAATGACAAAACGTTCTAGGACTAGCAGTACTTGCATTTGTCAAAGGCCCTCAGCAGGGTCTGCTCTGAGATAGTTACATTTTAACCAGAAAAGTGTATTTTTTTTTTAGCTGGATTGTTCCTACTCAGCACAGCATTCCAGGATGAGAGGTGTTCTCAATTGTACACATTCATTTTACATAGACTTGATGGAAACTCACCCTACACCTGGGCACACATTAGAAGCTGCGAGTACCAGAAGAGTATGCGTGGTGGTAGGTGTTTGCAGACAACACACAAAATACATGGAATGGCACTGTGGATGTCATGAATGAAAATTGTGAGGTGAGGTTTAGCACTTGCTGTTGGAAAATATGAGTTTTTCTTCCAATCATCATCTCAGATAATTGCTAATAGTGCTACCTGTATGTGTAAGAGGCAGATGTAAAGAGATTTGTATGTGTTTCTCCACAAAGATACTGTCGTTTCCTCCTCCATTGCAGGAGCTCCAAGCCAGGAGAACAGACTTTCTGTGGTATAAAGTGAGACCAGTGTTTTTAGTCCTTGATATTGTACTTTATCCTTAACCCATGTCCTTGTAAAGAAAAGCTTGCAGACATAACTACTTTCAGCTTCTGTTTGCTTCTTAACCAGGTTGTATGAGCTATGGATACTTCACAATAGCAAAACAACAGCTAGAAGAATACTTTCAGTGCAGGATGCATACAACAGGGAGTACTTACACATACATTGTCCTTTTAGAGCTTGCACGAAGGGCAGCATTTGGAGTATTGGTGAAAAACAGCCTGCTATGACTTCTTTGGCAGTTACAGCAAGTCTGGGACCATTCTGACAGAATGTGGGCAGTATGTATTTATTTATCTTTGCCTTTTTTGTGGCTGCCATAAGAGGCCCTGTTGTGCAGCGATCTCTCCAATGCAGAAAATAACTCAGCAGGCTTTCAAGGGCCATCAAAGTCTGTCTTTGCTACTTGAAAATCTAATTCTGAGGAAAAGTAAGATAAGGGTTCACTTTGCGGTATTCATAAAGCATCTGGATGTGAAGAAGCATTGTACTGGCAAAGCTACTCATCTACTGAATCCAAGTTCTTATATGCAACTGTTGGATGGTTTCCAATCTAATGAACCTTTATAGCACCTTTTTGTCTGCACAGTGTCAGAGGTACTTGTTTTATACATCCACATTGTGTAAAACAGTCATCTTGCAAGCACAGGTGACCTATGCTACAATCTGAACTCTGGTATGATAGTCTAGTTAAATTTATAGCTTTATTATGTGACTTATTGGCAGGATCCTTTTTTTAAGTTGTCCACAGGAGAACTGTGACTCCATTCGTTAGTCACCAGGGATGTAATACAATGAATGCAGCAATTCCTGATCTTTACAGCCATTGCCTCTCTGAGGGCAATCTCTTAACTGTGTAAATGCTACACCAAGAAGGCAAGGGACAGTGTGTGTGTTCAGAAGAGTGGGGATGTTGCAGTCTGACCTGGTCTTCTCACTCTAAAGAAGATGCACAATATGCCTCAGTTGTTATTCATTCACTCGAATTAAATTGGTGCTTGGTTTTATTTTCAGTGTGCCAATTTTCATTATTTTATACAAATTTCATAATTAGCTTAAAATTCCCATTGCTAAGGCCTGATTATTACAAGTGGAAAATGAGAATTTCCTAGTTTTAGAGGAAAGTAAGTTCCTATACTTCACAAATGAAGGGAAGCGTGACAACCTTTATCTTAACAGCACAAACACCAAAGGTGAACAAAATGGTCCTAGACAATGAAATCTGGGTGAAGCGGGGAAGGGAGAAATGGCAGGTGAGCACAGGATGTCTGTAGAAAACTTTTGAGTGCTTGCAGTTTGCAGTGCTATTAATTTGAAGTTGACAGTTAAAGATCGATAGTTTTGACACTGAACACAGATCTGCTTTCTGCGTTTCATGTTCTTAGATGATGCTTGTTTCAGAACAACACAGCTTGCCATTCAGACCCCTAAGTGTTCATGCTGTAGCGTACTTGGCTGAAATAAACAGGAACTGGCTTTCAGGAGAAAGAGAGGAGAATCAATATTATGCTAGCAGCCAGCAGAGGATGCTTTTGATTTTCTAGTTTCTTTCTTTTTCCCCCTACAGTGATTATTGCCCTTGCAGCTTCTTTCTAGAAATCACAGGGGTTTCACTGTTAAATGTTTTAGTAATATATACACAATACCTTGCATGCAGCAGCATGTGCTATTTATATGACAAGATCTTATAGTCTGTCTCTGTTCACGGGGGAAATATATGCACAGCTTGATGTGGATTTTGGTTTTGCGTTTAAACAAGACTGTGTAGGACTCTTGATGTGGCCTCGAACTGCACTTTTGATTTACGACCACATAGCATCTATTGGGCTGAAGATAGCATTAAGTTTTCAACCTTAGGTGGGGGTTCAGAAGCTTTTAAATTAAACCTCTGTCTATTTTTCAGCAAGGTTGGGCTTTGAAGAAGTTATTACTCCTAAATCATTACTTGAAGTCAAAAGCTTGTAACTAAGGCAGCGTTCCGGCTGCAGCGGGACGGGCTCTGGGTTTGTTGCGGGAGCAGCGCCGTTGGTGAGCGCAGGGTGACATCCAGCGGCGGCTCCTGCCTGGCTCCGGCAAGGGCTGTAGTAGCATCACAGGGACACCCCGCCCGGGAGGGCCCTCGAGGGTCTCCTGCCCAAAGCAGGGTCACACTGAAGCCACATCAGAGTGCTCACGGATTTGCCTAGTCCTGAAAACCTCGAGACTCTGTGTAACTTGTTCCTTAATTATGCTCATAATGAAAACGACTTACTTATCTAACCCCTCCTCCTTTTTTTTTTTTTTTTTTTTTTTTTTTTTTTTTTTTTTTTTTT